GGGGGAGCCGGGCATCTGAGTCCTGACTCTGCTACCAACTTGGCCGCTGGAAGCCGGGACCTCCCTGGGCCTGTGCTTCCTCCTGCAGAACAGGGTGACGGCTTTCCCTCTGGGGCTGGTGATGATCCATCCAACACGATAATGAACAGAAAGGAGCTTTGCATAAGTCGCAAGTGTTGTGCGAGCGTCGGTTCCTAAGATGTGAAAGAATCTGGAGGAAAGAGGGGTGACTGTTGTGAATTTGGAATCCCCTCCACGCCCTGCCTCCCTGGACAGGAAGCTGAGCCCTGCTGGCGGCAGGAGGGAGGGAGGGGGTTGTCGTGCCGGTGTGGAGCTTGCTCACCTGGGATTGTCCTGCCTTGGAAAGGAGGCTGCAATTGCCCACCTTGCATGAGCTAGTCCCGGCCTAGCCCCGTCTGGCGACATCGCGTCCAGCAGCCCCTTCGTGTCCAGCAGCCCCTCGAGCATCCTACATGCTTTTTGCTGGTTTGCACCAGAAATCCTGATGTACCCGCTGCAGCCCGAGCAAGTGAAGGCTGAGAAGCATCCAGTAACTGTAAACAACCATTCACGGCAATCTTCTGATGACTCTTTGTGCTACGTTGTGTGTTTTTCTGTGCCTGTGAGTGTGTGGGTGAGTGTGGGTGTGCGGGTTGAGGGGTTGGCCAACAGCGGACTGCAGGAATTGTAAAACCGACTTGGACTGCAGCCCGCCCGCTCTCTGCGGTCAGTTACTTATTCAGCGCAGGCTTCTTGCCAGGAGCTGTGCTGGGCGCCAGGGAGCCTGCGGTCAACAAGAGAGACGCCGCTCCTGTCCTCGTGCGGCTTAGAGTCGGGGGCAGGACGTTGTCACAAAACCTGGGCCCCCTCACGCCTTCTCAGAGAGGGGCTCTCTCCCTTCTCCCTCCTGGGCCCCCACCCTGCAAAGTCCTGCTCAGAAATACATGGCACCCTCTCCCGGCCCCTGAGACTGTGCCAGACCCCAAGGCGGGGACACCACCCATCTCGAGTTCGGATCAGCCTGCCCACCCTTGGGACGGCCCTGAGTCCTTTGCAAGTGTCTGGGACACTGTGATCCTGGCAGGTACCCTGTGCCAAGACAATGGAGAGTGGAGGTGCCAGGTGCCGGGATCAGGTGCTGCAAGGCCTGTCTGCCTGTCACAGGCCGGGCCTCTCCGCCCCTGCCTGCCACCTGCCCGGGGCTGGAACGGGTCCTGGAAGTGGAGAGGTGGGGGTTGGCTGCGCCGATGAGGCACCCTATGGACTGCAAAGCCACCAGGGCCACATGGAGTGGGACAGGCAGAAGCGGCAACTTCCCGAGTCTGGGGTGGCCAGTTTTGCCCACTTTGCCCCAAAGTCCCTGCCCTGCGTCTGGCGTGGGGGCTGGAGGCGAGTGGTCCGCCGCTGGCTGTGCAGCGGCTGCTGGGCGGAGCCGCCTCCTCACCCTCTCTGGTGCGCAGGGCGGGTCCCATTGCATCACCCCTGGAGCCTCTGTTCCTGGCTTTGCAGCCAGCTGGGCCCCTGGAGGAGGGACTCTCCTTGTTTTTCAACAAGCCATTAACCATTTCACCCTCCCAGGCCTCCCCGTGCCACCCTGGGTCCCCCTGCCTGTCTGTCCGACCCTGGAACCGCCCTTCTGCTCCAGGACGCATAGGGCTTCTGCCCGGGCAGCCGGGCGAGGGCTGAAGGCTCCCAGCACCTGACCCCGTCCCAGCCTGGCCTCTTCCCCCGGAAAAGAGTTAAGCTCCCTCATCCCCACCCTCAGCAGCAGTGAGGGAGGCTCAGCCTGCAGCATGAGCTCACGCCCCATCCACACTCCAAACCGCCCAGACCAAGGGGCAGTGCCATGGTTTAGACCCAGAGCAAGCACAGGGGACTGGGGGGGGGGGGCAAGCCAGAGACCAGGAGCTGGGGTGCTGGCCCCTCCCACAGCCCCTCTGACCCTTTACTGCAGACCCACTTGGGCCTCTGCCCTCTTTGGAGGGACCCAGGGACGGAGTGGGTGGGGCTAGGGTCCTCAGGGGCCCAAGTCTGATGGAAGAGAGTCCCGATTACAAGTGTTTCCTGCTCCTAGAGGGGCTGGGGGAGGGGAGGGGCCGGGCGAGGAGGAGGGTAGAGAGTCCAGTCACTGAAGACGCCCAGCCCGGCCCTCTGGGCACCCGCCTCAGGCTGCAGGGCCTGCGGAGACTCCATCCCAGCTGAGGCCCAGGGCCCACTTTCGGTTCCACTAACGTTGGGCTGCACGTGAACTTGCAGAATCCTGGGCTGGGTCCTGTGGGGGATGCAGAGATGAAGAGGCCCAGCCTGCGCCTCCAGGGAGCTTGCAACGTGTCCCTGATCGCTGCCTCCATCAAAGGCATGTGACGGCCCGCCCGCCCGTGGAAGAAGAAAGAGCCGGCTTCCCAGGGGAGGGATGGCAGCCGTGAGGAGTGTGGTGATTGTTGAAGCTTAAAGGACCATTAGGATGTCAAGAGGCAGAAATGAGGGGCACTCATTGTAGGGGAACAGCGAGAGCAAAACTATGGAGGTGCGAGCATGTTCTGGAACGTTCCTGCAGTCTGGTTTGACTGGTGCACACGGGGAAATAGTGACCTACTCACTCTTTCCGTGGATAAGTCATCGAATGTGCCAGTGACTTCATCTAGACTTCCGACAGGCCAAGGGCTCCCAGGGCAAAGACCTACAGGTTCGCAGACCCACAGGTCCACAGACCCACAGATTCGCAGACCGGAGCTGGGAGGCACAGAGGCTGAAGAGACTTGCTGGGAGGCACAGAGGACATTAGTGATTCAGGTGAGTGATGAGTGGTTAGTGACTCAGGACCAGAACCAGGATCTGTCTTTTTTTTTTTTTAATATATTTTATTGATTTTTTACAGAGAGGAAGGGAGAGGGATAGAGAGTTAGAAACATCGATGAGAGAGAAACATCGATCAGCTGCCTCCTGCACACTCCCCACTGGGGATGTGCCCGCAACCAAGGTACATGCCCTTGACCGGAATTGAACCTGGGACCTTTCAGTCCGCAGGCCGATGCTCTATCCACTGAGCCAAACCGGTCTCGGCACCAGGATCTGTCTTGGCCCAGGTCAGGCCCCTTATCCACAGAGCTGGCTGATCCAGCGGAACCTGTCACCCCTGAAGGGCATAGAAGACACTGGGAACCGACAGCCAGCGATCCAGGAGGAAGACACTGAGCCGCACGAATGTCCCTCGAGGTGCTGCATCTGAGGAAGGAACAGCCCCATGTCACTCAGAGGGGAAGAAATGCCAATATTCTCTGTTTTTCCAAGCTGGCGAGAAGTTTCATATCATCATTAGGGCTTCCTCCTTTGGCTCATTGAATTTCACAAACAAACAAAGCCCCCAGAGCCCGACCCCCGTGGCTCAGTGGTTGAGTGTCAACCTATGAACCAGGAGGTTGTGGCTCGATTCCCGGTCAGGGCACATGCCCGGGTTGCAGGCTCGATCCTCCCTAGGGGCTGTGCAGCCGATCAATGATTCTCTCTCATCATTGATGTTTTTCTCTCTCTCTCGCCCTCTCCCTTCCTCTCTGAAATCAATAAAAATATACATTTAAAAGCAAAACGAAACCCAGAAATCTCCAGATAACCAAACAAAGGGCTGGATCTTGTGGAAGTGGGGCAGCTGGCCCGCCATTGGTGGAGGTGGCCACGGTTACGGCTGCACGGTTATGGCCACGTGTTGAATGCTGGTCCTTCCTGTGTGTGGGCACCGCTTCTCCAGGCAAGCTGCTGAGCTGCCCACGCACACGGGCCCCTCCCAGCAGCTGGCCACCCAGGGGTGTCTTTTCCAGTCTCCTCACAGCCATCTCCTCACCAGGTTTTGGCGTCCTGTGAAGGGGGCGCATGCTTGCATTCCCGTGGGACCTCAACTTCTGCAGGGCGTGCAGCACCCTCTTCTGCGGTCCCGGGAGCCACGCCCCACAGGTGAGGCTGCTGATCTGTGGAGAACCAGCTCCCTCCTCTTAGACCTCCAGGGCCGGAGCTCTGGCCGCCCCGCTGGGAGGATGTGGGGAAAATACTTCACATTCTTTCCTGAAGGATTCACGGCCAAGAAAACCAGATATGGCTGATTTATCCATCAGGCTCCTCCGCCACATTCAGCAGAGCTGAGTGAATCCCCCCTGTCCTACTTCCCACAGCGAAAGGGGGCCCCCGAAAATACGGCCACGGCCACGCTGTGCACCAGGCGAAGGCCGCACCGTGACACGGGAAGATGGCCGTGACGGAATCCAATCGTCAGCTGAAAAAGCAGCTTTTAAAGCAGCATTACAGCGTGAGCCAGTTTTTTCATAAACATCAAATGACATATTTAGACAAAGAAAAGACCTGAGACGGCGCACACCAACATCCTTATGTCCTCTGTGTGGTGAGGTGACGGGCCATTTTCCTTTACTCCTCTGAGCTTGTTCCCACATCCTAACAATTCTACAGTGAGTGCAATGACCTCTTCTTGGAGAGTATCTGAAGAAAAAGTACTTTTCAATGATAAAAGTAATGCAGACTCATAACAAAAATCTAAGCAAGCAGATGTATGTTCCACAAAAGCGAAAGCCTCTTTCTGGACTCTACACCCCTCCTGTGAGCGTTTCCCAGGAAAACCCGGAAGACGGCGGCGATGCCTGCCTTGTTGGGGGTTTTGTCACAATCGAGTGAGTTAATACATGTACAGCGGTTAGAGCCTTGCCTGGCATATAAAAAGCATACGCGCATTTTAACTCTTCGATTGCATTTTTTATTTCATTTCCCATTCTGCTGCATAGACACCCCTTTATACCGCAACTGAATACTTAGAAACATTTTTAAATCATTTTTTAAAAATGAAACAAAAGAAATGACTCGCCGACTTCTCATCGGTTCCCCCCATCAGACGAAGAGGGGCTGCCTGGTGGGAACCCCCCTTTGTCTGCTTGCACCCTAGTGACCTGGGCTGCCTTCCCCATGGATCTCAGATGGGCTGCCTGTTCAGCTACCGTCTGAACCACTGTCATCCCCCCTTATCCGCAGGGCGTGCATTCCAAGACCCCCAGTGGATGCCTGAAACCATGATTCAGCTACCGTCTGAACCACAGTCCCCCCTTATCCGCAGGGAGTGCATTCCAAGACCCCCAGTGGATGCCTGAAACCATGGATAGTAGCAAACTCTATGTATACTATGCTTCTTCCTGTACATTCTTACCTTTTCACGTAAAGGAAGCACTTTACAGTCTGTCTTTGGCATATTCTAATTCTACCTTCATTTTATTTTTTGTGAATCCTCACCCGAGGATATTTTTTCCATTGATTTTTGGGGAGAGAGGGAAAGACTGAGAGAAACATCGATGTGAGAGAAACACATCGATTGGTTGCCTCGTGCACATGCCCCAACCCAGGGCCGGGCTGGGCCGAGGAGGAGCCTGCAACCAAGGTACGTGCCCTTGACCAGAATCGAACCCAGGACCCTTTGGTCTGCCTGCCACTGCTCTATCCACTGAGCCAAACCGCCTAGGGCCCAATTCTACTTTTAATTTGCACATTCCGAGCCAGCATCACTACTCCCACCCTTTGGGACCATTATTAAGGAAA